ATGCATTACCAGTGTTTTGAATTAGATTAAATAAAGGGTCTTGCGAAACTACTAAGATAGAAGATGGTGCTATTTGTAGAGAATTTGAAGTGATTAATCTTTCTTTTCCTTTTTTAATGAAATGCCTTACCTTCATTGAGAAAGAATGAAAGAATACAGGAGCTTATAAAAAAGGGAAAAATCCACAAAAAGGGTGTAGTTGTCAACTACAAGAAGAGACTCCACTCAAGTAAAATAAGTCCTAACGAATAATTATAAAAAAATCTTAGACACCAAGGCCAGAGAAAACAGAAAATCTACCAAAAAACTAAACATCATTACTGATCATTAATTCTTGCATGCTCCATCTTGTCACAGTCCTTTTATTGATGGTGAAGGTGGGAACTGAAATTTAGTTGATAGGATTGCTGAATAGTTTTCATATGAGGTTAGAGAGGAAAAAAGAATGTCAGCTTCGCTGAATCGGGATCCTGGAGAATTTCCCCTAGGTCGATTTTTGCCTATTTCATGTCTCTAATATTGTTTTAATTTCAGTTCAATTAAATGGCCCCAATGCTTTTATCATTTCTCTAGTATTTGGTAGACAGTACATCATTTAGTTGATTCATTTCACCGTGCTTAACTTTGATCGTAATGTGACAAACCAAAAAATAATAATAATAACAACGTCACAAGTAACCTCTCACAAAGTCTAAGCCCTTGAGTTCTCTTTCTTAAACCTAAAAGTTACTGCCGAAACCTTCAGAACTGTGAATCAAACATCGGGAATAACTCCCACGACGTAACTCATAGGTCCAAATCAATCAATCAATCAATCAGTAGCTCATCATTTTCTTTAATGATCCATACATCCATCACGGAGTTCTTAAGCAGAAATCTTCTTCCCATTATTAATAACCTAAACACTAGCGGATAATCTAAAAGCACAATGTGAATTCTTGTCTCAAAATACCAATCTTCTCGAGCGTGATCCTTTTAGCATGAAACGATCATACAAAAGCATATTTCCACCTAATCACGACCGGTTCCAATTCCTGAAATCTTCTCCATGCTAACCGGTGAGAACGTCCTTCAAACTTTCACAAGAAACCTAACCTCTAAGCTAAAAGAGAACAACGACTCGATTGGCTATACGAAACTGCGAAAAGAAAACATACAGCAAATTTAAAAAGAACAATGCGTGCATACCTGGATATAATCTTTGAAGTAGTAGAATTCTTTCTAGAAAACGAGGGACCAGAACTCGTTCCAGCGATGCTTTTGATAGAGAGAGACGCTTTCCTGATCTCCTGATTATAGCTTTGGGATTTCGTGAAGGAAGAAAATGATAGAGATGAAGATTTGGAGTAACTCAGGATTTTGAAGGAGAATTTGGAAGAAGTAGGTCTCTGAGAGATGGCCGACGCGGAGTCCATTGAAATGGCCGCCATGGGAGAAGGAATTCGTCAGCTGCAGAGCAAAATTGGTTTATGGTTAACAGTACTGAGTGGAAATATTCATTCTGCAGCTCTGCTAAGGGCGTAGGTGGAGAAAGAGAAAATCTCGAGTCGTGATTTGACCGTAATACCCCTTTGCGCTTACGGCTACTCAGCCTAACTAAGAGGGTTAAAACGGGAAATTTGGAGTATTAATTTCATCATATATTCGACCATTAAGAGTTTTTGGATTTTGTTTAAAATAGCTTTAAAATATTCATATGAATAAATAATGTCTTAATGATCATTTTTAAATAAATAATTTTAATAAAATTATCAAATTAAATTATTAATTATTGATATTATGAGAATAATAATAATAATTTGTAAAATAGTAAGAAATAAAAAAAATAAAAAAGAACGTCTTTCTTTTATTGACCTATTAAGGTTCGAACCTATGCCACAAAGAGTTGCCACTAGCAATTAGTTTAATCTATTGGTCAGTAAAGCTACGACATCATTCAATAATAATCATCCATGTGCATCGTGGTGTTTTTTGGCTTGTTGACCTCTTCCATGGCGTTATCTATACTATGCAACGCCATGAGTCTCAACGGCATGGTTTTCGACGTCGTGAGTTCAATAGTCTTTTCTTCTTCTCCCCTGTTTCCCCTCTATATCATGATAATTTTCTTTGCATGTGAGTTCTGTGAGGTGCAGCTAAAGGTCGTTATCGTATTTTTTGACATCGGGGAAAACGTGTAGGGTGAGGGTGCAAGAATCCTAGCAAGTCGTCAGAATTCTCGCCCCCTTTTTTGGTGACCTCATTTTTTTATTTTTTTTATTTTTGATTCTTACAAGGAGCATCCGGTAAAACCTAAACAATAAGACCCAATGTCACCAAAGAACAGTTATGTTGGGGGAGATCTTTCCAACAAAGTCATTTGTTTGTGTATACTTTCCGTCGAGGAATGTAATTGTAACGATTTTATTTTTCCTTTTAAAACAAAGTCGCTACCACATGCATGACATGTCTAATAGGTGCGCAAATTTCTTTAAAATGTTGTTATGTACTTAAACCAACGTTAAATGTAAATGTAAATGTTCTAACTTTATTCTCATGACCTCCACAACAACACCATCATCTGTACAGTGTCTTACCATTACCTGAAAAGTAAGTAGCATGTGGCTTGAGTATTTAAAGAAATATTCCATATGTAACCCCACTGTTGGGGTCGAAAAATACAATCACATGCAATCATGTTGGGACCTATCATTTCATAAAAACATCATGATCTTCAACTCTATTTTTCCGTCAAGGTAAAGTTAGATGTGTAGTACTTTCCAATACACAGCCCACTGGGCGGACTCATATACATACTCCTTGGGCCCGCCTTCGAACTAGTGCACGCTCACGTTGTCGATACCACAGAAGGAAAAGAGCCTACATAATATCGTAATGTACGTGTCTATATTAATTATTAACAAGAAAGTATCTCGATGCACGTGACATTAAGTCTCATAGTTTCAAATCATGACATATACTTGTGATGCAAGTCATACCTCTATTTTTGTTTATGACATAGCATTCTTACGAGGCATGCATACGTATATTAGGCATATCTTTCATGGTTAGCATACATGGCTTATCAATATCTCATAGATATAAAGTGAACATACTAATATAATATACGTGGCGTGACATGTGAAGGTTCATGTTGTTTCATCGATATGAAAATAAGTATAAAAATAATAATTCAATTCAAAACAAAAAAATAATTATTTCAAAAATTTAGAAATCACGATAATACTTTAAAAATTCAATAAGATAGAGTTCGAGAAAGTAACAATAAAATTAATGGTCATTTAATTTGCATGAGTTATGTAACCTAACTTTTCCCTTAGAAACTTAACTGACCACCACGACATACGAACCACCTTAGGAGTTTCCTTAAGCTGTAAGTGTGTGAACGGTGTCATAACTTCGTGGGGGACCAGGGGGGTTCCTGATCAGAATCTACTGCTCCTAGTCGTTTTGCATGGGAAACGTGAGTCCACGTCGTACGTACCATTTAGCTGGATGGGATAAGGGAGGAGTAGCCTCTTCCTGATGAGGGAGACTATTATGGACCTAGGTAGTTATCGTTCACCCTTGGGTAAGATACCAAGTAGTCTCATAAGTCATGCTTGAGGAAGCTCCTCTAGGTCACCAGTCATTCACAGCTCGACATAAGGAACACTTAAGGTTTAAATAAAAGGACGGAGAACCAAAATAGCCCCAAGGGGATAAGACCAGAACCAAACCTCCTAGAGCCAATGAGAAGCCTCTGGGAATCTGTTAAATCTAGAATGTGATGTGATGAGAGCCTACAAGTAGGTGACTTACTTTGTATAATTTTTATACTCATCCCTGTTTTCCTATCTTTTTCAGGTGTTCGTTGGATGTCGGTCGAGGTGGATGAGCGTTAGAGAGCTGTGCGGTCATAGGGGTCGTTCTGAAGCATCAGTCCATTTTCAGTCATTTTGGAGTCTTTTGAATTTCTTTTTATATTTGTAACCCCTTTGTAATATTTGAAATTAAACTTCTCTTCATCGGTATTAATTTTATTGAATTTTCCTCTTTTATTCTACCTCTTTTTTAATTTCTTTTTAATTGTTTTCACTTTCGTCTTTTTAGTCATGGTCCGAGTTTCAAAACCTTGAAAATCGAGTCATAACAGACCTAGAAAAGATACCCAACTGTACCCATATACTATAAATCCTTTAGGTTATTACGTGAACATGATAAAAGTATGTCAACCACATACGGTTCAAGATTACATTAATAGTCTTAGATTTTCGATAATGTTAAATTGTAAATAAAATAATAAAAAATAAATCCCAATAGTAGACTCTCGAGACATGATCTCAATTTGCCAACCGTCAAGGTACTACTGAGGACCCCTACCGCTCATGACAGGTTCACTAAGAGTAAATTTACTAGCACATTCCCCAATAGTCCCACAAATACAGTCATCAATCATAAACCAGTTATAAAGTTATTTGGACCCTTGGCAATCGAGTTACGTATACCCCTAACCGTCCCCATATAACCGCATAAAATTCACATGTATGAGCAAATCATAAATAGAGACACAACATTGAGACCTAAATATAGATACCTAGTCATGGTTTCACTCGATGTGAAGCTCAATCCACGCATTTTTCAAAAAATGTGCATCATAATGTTTAGCGTGCTATTATATCCATCAAATCAACTCATCCATGCTCAAATTTCGATTATAATGTTGTAAGCTGATGCCTTGAGCTGTTACAAATCCAGAATCATTGACACAAATAAATGCATTGCATCACAAGCTTCACACAAAATTTATTTATATATTTGTTCATCTATTCCATGACAGGAACAGGAAGAGATACATGTTATACCACGGTTTTGAATCATAAGAGAGATTTCAAAAAATGACAGATCAATAATCGAGCTAGATGTGATGTATGATAAGAGATTTCTCATTGATTCTTAGGGATTGGATAGGTATTCCATATTAGAGTAATTTGTGGCATTTCACAAAATTTATTTGAAGTGGTTCAAATTTTGTAAACCTATAAACATTTTGGATCCCCTCGGCTGATTGCTAGCACAGATGACATCTTCAGACTAAGAATTCTTCACAATATTTTCGATGGAAATCGAAACTAAAAACGCCGCCGGCTTATTCATCTTCGCTAGGTGAATCTCCTGTACTATCTACTTGTGTTCATTGCTGAATCCCTGCCTCTTTATCTTCGTCGGTGCATGATTCTTCCTGTCTTCGTTCCTCCCACTCTAGATTGCGATGACGCTCTGCAACTTTCGAAGCATTTTCAGAGTATTGTAAACGTAAAGCTTTTCAACTTTTTTTCTTCTGGATTTTGGCTGTTTATAGGCCCGAGCCCTTAATTTAGCGTTTTCAAGGCTTTCATTTCGCCATGTTTCAGAAAAATATTTGCAAGAAGTATTGTTGATTCCGAAATCTGAGAATCGGATGTAGGATGGTTCGATCAGGGGCTTTGTTCGATGTTGCCCACAAACTGTTTGATAAATGTTCTAACAGAGTTTAGGGTTTAAAATGAATGGAAAAACTATGTTTCTACGCCTAAATCGTGGAATACATGTTTTTAATCATAAGGAGTCAGGTTTTCTTTGGGTCTTGATGAGGCACAAATCTAGCGGTGGAATGAGACCGAAGAGGAAAATATATTATAGAGTTGATGAACTTGACAAAGTTATGGAGTTGCAGAAAAAGCCATCCCTTATACTGAAGCTTATAAACATTATCCAATCTCAAAAGCACAAGTTTATATTCTTGAGGGACTTGGAGAAAGAAGTGGGATTTGTCCAAAAATGGAATTTCATGGCTGTTATTGAGAGGTACTCTTCGATTTTTTATGTTGATTCTGGAAGCTGTAGAAGGCCTTATGTTAGGCTCACCAATAAAGCTGAAAAGATTGCTAGTGAAGAACATAAGGTTAAGAGTTCAATGGAACCAATCTTAGTAAAGAATTTGAGGAAGCTGTTGATGCTGTCAGTTGACTGTCGAGTACCGCTCGAAAATATAGAGTTCATCGCGTCTGAATTGGGTTTGCCTTGTGACTTCAAAACTTCATTGATTCCTGAGTACCCTGAATTCTTTTCAGTGAAGGAAGTTGATGGGAAAGCCCACCTACATTTGGAGAATTGGGATTCTTCGCTCGCAATCAGTGCTCGGGAGGAAGGATTTGGTAGAGCCAGAGATGTATCTTCTTGTGAGAATCGAAAAAGAGTTCGAATATCAAAGGATGGCAACTTTTCTGGTCCATTTGCATTCAAGATGTGTTTTCCTCCAGGCTTTAGGCCAAACATGAGTTACCTTGAACATCTTGAAAGGTGGCAGAAAATGGATTTTCCTTCTCCATACTTGAACGCGAGGAGATTTGACGCAGCTGATCCGAAGGCAAGAAAGAGAGTCGTTGCTGTTCTTCACGAGTTTCTAAGCTTGACAATGGAAAAAAGGATGAGATCAACACAATTGGATGCATTTCATAGGGAGTTTCTTCTTCCATCAAAACTATTGCTGTGCTTGTTAAAGCATCAAGGAATCTTCTACATCACTAATAAAGGTGCAAGGAGTACAGTACTTCTGAAAGAAGCCTATGAAGGGTCAGTTTTGAGTGATAAATGCCCCTTGCTGTTGCACTTTGATAGATTCCTTTCACTCTGTGGTAGGAGGGACAAGCATTGCAATTCACCCCAGGTTCGTTTCTAGACTCGTACTCTTATTTATCAGAAAAAAAAAAACAAAAAACAAAAAAAAGCTTAATCCTCATTGGATTTCCGAAGATCCCTATGTTAGGATCGCATAACAACACACATACTCGATCTAGATGAACACAAAAAACAGGATAGCGAAAATGCAAGGAAGAATATTGTCTAGAGGTTTATATTAATGACTTCAGGTATGTACAGTGAGGCTCCATAACCTAACACCCTAGATGTGTTACGAACTTGATTGTTGTAGTCTGCTGTCCTCGTACACAAGTTATTAGAACGATGTTTTTAGGAAAGAGCAAGCTATTCATAAAGTAATTTTTTCTGGCCAAATGTAGGCTTTAGAATCTGAGTTGAGTATTCAAGATTCCTGTAAAACTATAGTTCATGCACAGTCAAAAGTGGTAAAAAGATGGCTTCTTCACCACTTTCGTCTTACAAATCTTTGTTGTTTGACTGGTGGGAAAGGATGGAAAGAAAAATAGTTCATCCAAGATAGAGATCTTTTGATATAAGTTCTTCTTTTGAAGACATTAATGAACTATGTGGTGAGCCATAAATGCACAGACACAAAGAACTCTTGAACCAAGATTTGTGTGTTTTTTTGGGTTTGTTATTGATATTAATTCTTAAATTAGTATGAGATTGATTACCTTGTGAGGCTTTTGTAGCTATTTCGTCCTCCACTCTCTTGTTTCATTGTTTATGAGTGATTTGACTGATCCATTTTATTTTGTGCTTATGAGGAGTGTGGTTATTACAACAAGTTTTGGCTTGTAGGTTTTCTATTATCTTGATTTGTGATTGAGGTTGTTTATTGCTTTATATAATTGATGATAATTTTTTAAAGTTTTTGTCGATGTTAATCCATGCGACGAGCTATAAATTTTGATGGTATTTGGTTGAAGTATGAGTGTTGAGATTTGTGTCCTAAAGTCTCGTACTTCTGTAATAATATTTTCTCATTTATGAAAAAATAATGGTTTATTACTTCTAACTTTGTAACCATTCAAGATTACAACTAATGAATGAATTTTTGTTTGTGAGGAAGTATACTTAGATGATTCTATAGTTAGTTTACTAAGCTTACCGTTTCGAGGGTTTAAGCAAATCGGAGAAAGGCTAAGTTCTACCAAATGAAATTAACTAAAGTTCATATTGAGAAAATATATAAGTTGTTTTCTTATGTGCTACTTTCGAAACAATGAGACCTTACCTTTTCTCATTAATTTGAAGGAGGCTTTGGTTTATGATTTGATCGTAAGTAGTTTTATTAAATACTAATTTTGAGACTTAAATGATAAGACTCTACCCTTTTAGTGGTTTGAGATAGACTTAATTTATTATTAGATTATAAACAAATAAATGAACACAAAGAACCAAAGAGAAAGATGAAAGAAAGAATATTGGCTTGAGGTTTATATTAATGACCTCATGTATATATAGTAAGAGAGAATACAAATAAGTCTGGAAATAGTCATCTAAATATAACTATCTACCATATAGTTTTATTAAATATAACCTTGTTTATTAGACCATTTACTTCATAGGTTATTTATCATATACCATACCTGTCATGTACTATATACCAGGTCTATTTTTACTATGTATAACGAGTAAGGTAACAATCTCCATAATCTAATATTACATAAGGCTCCTTATCGAAAAAAATGATAAATGGAGCAAATAAGATCTCGAGGTAATTGTCTCAAATAATTACCAATAGAGATCAAATAAGTCAGCAAACTTTAAGCATATTGTTCATTAGTGATGACTTCACAGCCCACAGCCTACTAAGTAATAAAATAGAGAGTACTTTAAGCATATGGTTCATTAGACATATTTGGCATGGCATGATTGCCTTGCCCTTTTGAGCATGAAAGAGATCAAACAATTGCAATCAAATTGTGGTTGCATCCTACTCTAATGGCCTGGAATCGAATTCAACACTGTTTTAGGCACTTTTTGGGGCCAAATAATTAAACACATTAGTCTTTTACAATTTCGATAATTCGACCTATATTTTGTGTCAAAACTAAAATGATGTATGGACTTTTTTACCTATATTGTTTTCGTGAAAGTTCATTTATTATTTTGGTTATTGGATTCAACATGGTAGCTAATCAAAGTGATCGTTAGGTGTAATAGAGAGGTGCACCAACTTGGTGTTCATAAAATCATAATGTAGATGTGAGAGTTGTGTGGACCTTTCCAAAAGGTTCAAGATAGATCATTTGAGGACCATGAGCCACCTTTTATCGATTCTTTTGGTCTATAGTTTCTTCCAAATCATTGTGGGAATCATTCTTCATCCTTCATCCTTTATCGCAAATAATTGATTGCGTCCACATTATCGTCACAATTATATACACAATTTATTATATACACCATTTTTAATCTTTTTAGTTGTTGATTCTACATTCTGGTATCATTATGGGCATAATATTGACACAATTCTCGATAGTTTAATAACTTCGGCACCAAAACACAAAAACACATTAAAGTTTGGCTTTTTTCATAATTATTTCTCTTTATTTCATGAATGATGAATGAAAACACGGGCATGATTGTTTTTTACTTATACTTGCTTTAATATGTCTAAACTTAGGTTTTAAAGCTACAACTTCTGCAAATGAGAGTTATAATACCTCCAAACGGTTAAACTACCATCACACGTACATATTTTAGAAAAATGATTTAGGTATTTTAAAAATAAAAGTACCTAAATAATTTAGGAATAAATTGTTTACCTTACTAAGATTTTCATCTAAAAAATTCTGAGCACAGTAGAGTGTAGTAGTTTCTAATCCTTTTGTCTCTAGTATCTCGATTGGTATTACTTACCAAATGTACTACATTTACAATTTGAATTCTAAGAATGAGGCTCCCTCATTGTGCTTATTTCCTCGGGTAATTTCCAATTACTCCAACTTAATTTGCAATTACTCATCCCTCATAGTATAGATACCTAAATTAGACTAAGTGTGCACAAGCGTGGTAAAACGAGTGACTCTAGTGACTTGCTTTGAAATGAGTTTTTTAAGAATAGTGTCGAACAATACAAGTATGCCGACATTGTGCTCCTGCCCAAGTGGCAAAAATTGGTACATACACCCGTTGTTTGGTACAAAATCTATAAATGACCTAGTATGGACATGGGATGGCTCATGACTCAATAGAACCCAAATGAATGGATATTTGAATACCCCAATGATATAATCAACCCATGGTTTGAGCCTTGTTTGAATGAGCTATAATGGCTAATGAAATCCCTTAGGATGATATCATGAATTGAGGGTCATATTTCAAATCACAAGACTTTAAAATGTTTGAATTTGGACATGCTTAAGACAAATGAAACAAGATTAGTGGGTTCATCAACTACTTAAAAGCAAATGAAAATATAATTTAAATCCCATGGCATGAACTCAAAAAGATTCAAATCGAAACAAAAACTTGGAACAAACATGGGAGAATTTTCTCCAAAAGCTCTAATTATAGGTCCTTTCTACTACTACCAAAAGAAACCTGCATCCACAACCAAAATCCATGGGGGCTTTAAAAATTCAGAGGAACAGCAAACCAAAATCCATGGCAATTAAACTAAAACCTCCATTTATACATACTTCCCTCTGTATTTCGGCTTTGGATCTTTGGTAGCATTGCAATTGCCAGCAACCGTAAGCCGGGGATCAATGGTGGGGCCGAAAACTGCAGAATGGAGATTACCATCTTCTAACCACTTCAAATGGTTCTCCCTGAATTCTTCATGTTTTAACTTTGCTGCCTCCGCCATTTCTTTGGTGTACGAGCTATGTTTGACCATTGTTAGCAGTACCCGGCTGTATCGAGAGCTCAATATCTGCTCGGACGAACTGATTAACGTGAAACATGGATGCTCTGGGAATTGGTTAAACACACAATCTTCTTCCCTCAACACAGGGTAGAAGAATACAAGCCTGCCACCCATCACAAGCATCTTGGCTGCAAGGTTGAGTAAATCGTGCACACACTCAACAAGGCTGTAAGCAGCTGTTGATGGTATGTGGTCGGTTCTCTTATCATCTGGAACGGTGTAAGGCGCAACAGTTCCTTTCAACAATTTCCGACCACCGGATTTACGCCCCCCGGCACGTACTCCATAAGGAGGGTCGCAAATGATGGCGTCAAATATCTGGGTAGAGAAACAAGTTATGAAAATGCATCAGAATCAGCACTACAAAATATCAGTAGCTGAATAGCTGAATAGCCAAGCCTCAGATTTAATAAAGACTCAGGACAGCCAATATAATGTTATAACTTATAATAAGCATCACATCAACAAGTACTTAAAATGGTCTACCATGGAAACATAATGGATTTATCCAATAACCTTGCTTTCTTTGAACCAAAAAAATAAATAAACTTTTAAAGCATGCAATCAAGGCTGAAGCGAAGAAGGGAGGCTCCACAAAGCACTCCAAAAGCAACTGCAGCAACCTAAAACAAGGCTCGAAAAAACACAGCCGACTGAAACTCTGGCCAAAAAAGAACTTTCAGACAGAGCCTGCTGAAAAATGATGCATGGATATTAACGACCTTTACAGCAAACAGCTTGTTAAATTCCAGAAAACTTGAGCCAACCACAGACCTTTCAAGACTCTAAAGGCTTCGAAAATTGTGCAAATAACATGAGGAGAGCTAATCTTTTCAACAGCAAAGGAACCGAGAGAAACAACAGCCACAAGACTAACCAATGGGAACTCAAAAACAACCTCAAAAAGTTCAAAGAGAGCAAATGAAGGTGCACGGATTTGCAAAAGAACCAAAACAAAAGCAATCAAACGGAAAATAAGCAGACTAAGAGAAACCTATCAAATACTGAAAAAGGGCAGGAACAATAACAAAGAAGGAAAGAGCCAGCACCATGCATGGAAAAAGCAAGCTTCCACGAGACCAAAGAACCCAAAATCAAATGCTCAGCTACGAAGACAGGATGAAATCGTTAGGAGCCCATCTTGAACTTCTGAATGTCTATGATTTAATTTAATAAACTTCAATACCACAAACCTTTAGAAAGGAGGAAAAATTATGTTTACCTTCTAATGCATTCTCATGAAGGAGAGGAGGGGGAGTCTTATCGGACAAATTCCTTGGAGGAGGGTTTATTTCTTCTAAAAAAAAGTTACATAGAATCCCATCTAGCTTCTTGAGAAGAAATTTTATCAAGCCCATTATCCGGGGAGAAAACTGATGTGGTATTATGCTATTATGCAAAGAGTAACTATAAAGTGGTCATTGTGAGTTCACCATACAACTTTTTTTCTTTACCTGGTTATATGTTAGCTAACGAGTACCAGCAGTCACTTACAGGAAATGAACCTAAGAGTAATGATTCACATATTACTTGATCAAAATTCCCTTCTAATCCTGCTTTACCAAATATCCTTTACTACATAAATGATTGCAAATTTGTAAGTCGATGCTATGCTATGAATATCCACAGAAATCAGTAAGCATCAGAATATAATAATGGCAGTGGAGCTTCAAAACAGACAGAAACACAAGGAAATATGAAAATATGCAGTAAACGTGCAAAACATTGCTGCTGTACCTCCTTCAATCCTGGACGCCAGGGAGGAAGATTATTGTCTGCTCTTAACAGTGCAATTGGCGGCGGTAATCCATACTGCAAGCAGTAAACCAC